CTATAGTTGTTCTTGATAAACGTATATATACTGTTAGGGCGATCAGTGGATAACATGATATTTTTGTAAAAGTTTGTAACTGATCTATTAAAAATCTTCAATAAAAACATACTAAATTTTCGGCTGCCAACTGCAGCCTTCTTCAGAGTATTTTGGCCGTGTTCGATTAGTTCAAGTCCTTTTATGCCTTATCCCGTTACACTCAATTGATTCTAACAATGGTAAATACGAAACCGGAAATTCTATGTGTTCATTGACTGCATTTTTGTCTAGTACAGAATGTAACGCTTCAAGAAACCTTCTTTTGTCATAGTTTTTAATGCCTTTTTCCAAAATATTTACGTCAGTTTTAGCGACTTCATGACCTGTCTGTTCAGCATGTTCTTTTATAGCTGAAAAAGTATTTTTTCTTACGCCTGGTTTGTGTTCAAGCCATCGGGAACACCAACATCTTTTAGACTCCCCGACATAAGTGAATGAGCACGACTCGCATTTGAATTTGTACACAATAGCTTTTGTTCGCATTTCCTGTGGTCTTTCTTTTGGTTTTTTGAATACATTCTCTAACGTGACTATCGGCTTGAATGATGTCCGAACGCCTGCTCGAGTTAAGATGCTTTTGACTTTTTCCGACACACCTTTCACATACGGAATGCACGTCGAGCCACGAATCTCAAATTCAGAAGAATTTTGTTGTGTTTTGTTTGTATTTCTAACATTATCAATAAACGCTTTCTTGTATCCATTTAACTCTAACACTTCTGCTACTCTATCCGTTTCCTCCTTCTGTAAAACTTGGTTTGATGGAATAACTTGAACTAATCGAACACGGCCAAAATACTCTGAAGAAGGCTGCAGTTGGCAGCCGAAAATTTAGTATGTTTTTATTGAAGATTTTTAATAGATCAGTTACAAACTTTTACAAAAATATCATGTTATCCACTGATCGCCCTAACAGTATATATATAGTATATATATATATATATAGTATATATATATATAGTATATATATATATATATATATATATATATATATATATATATATATATATATATATATATATATATATATATATATATATATATATATATATATATATTCCCCTCTGAATGAAAAATTGCTAGAGTTATCCCGCTTCATAAGAAGGGTTCACGCTCCGTTTTAGACAATTATAGGCCAATATCAATTTTGCCGGTCATCAGCAAAATATTTGAAAACATCTTGTATGAGCAGTTATACGAATATTTTACCACCAATAATTTATTGTCTGAACAGCAGTTTGGGTTCAGGCGCTTTCATTCCACGTCCACTGCTTTGCTTGATTGTACTGATGAGTGGTATGTTAATATGGATCGTGGTTTGTATAATCTTGCCGTTTTTCTCGATTTTAAAAAAGCATTTGACACGGTAAACCACGACATTTTACTGGCTAAACTAGAGTTATATGGTATTAAGAACACTCCTCTTATGCTTCTCAAATCGTACTTATCAGATCGATCTCAGAAATGTCAAGTAAATGGGGAACTTTCCACACTAAAATATCTAAAATATGGCGTTCCTCAGGGTTCAATTTTGGGTCCACTTCTGTTTTTAATTTATATCAATGATTTGCCGAATTGTTTACAACAATCTACAGCACGCATGTTCGCCGACGATACTAACATTACAGTGTCCGGTAAATCAATTAAGGAAGCTGAGGTGGCCGTTAATGTCGATCTCAATAATATCAGAGAATGGCTTCTATCGAACAGGCTCTCTCTTAACCTTGTCAAAACGGAATATCTTTTGATTGGATCACGCCACAATATTAACACGTTAGAAGAACAACCGCGTGTTTTTATTGGAGATGAACCAATTAAAGGGGTTCAAGTTACGAAAACTCTTGGAGTCAAAATTGATCAATTTTTAACTTGGGACAGTCATATTGACCAAATTTCTAAAAAATATCTTCTGGAATAAGTGCCATGAAAAAGATAAAGGATTTCACTAATTCTGATACTTTGAAGTCGGTCTATTATGGTCTTGTCCAACCCCATTTCGACTACTGTTGTGAAGTTTGGAATTCCATTAATAGAGGCCAGTCTGAACGACTACAAAAACTTCACAACAGATGTGCTAGAATTATAATGAACTTTAAAGATGAGCTTGGGCAATCTCAATTGGCCCTCGATCAATTAGGGTGGATAAGCTTGGAAGAAAGGCGAAAACATAATATGGCCCGTCTCATGTTTAAGGTTGTCAATAATTTGGCACCATCGAGGTTCTCATCAATGTTCCAGAATTCTAACCATATCCACAGTTATAATTTACGAGGTTGAAATTCGTCTCTCTTTCTGCCACGACCAAATACCGAGTATGGCAGAAAATGTTTTCGATATAGTGGGGTTAAAATCTGGAATAGCATTCCTGAACAAGTAAGAAACAGCGAATCTTTAAATTCTTTCAATAGAAATATTTCCTCTGTTAGTCTGACGAATTAGCTATTTGAGTTTTGTATACCATTTGTTTTGTAATATGTATTTGTATTCGTAGTTCTTAATATTCTTAGTGATTTTGTATTTTATATATTTTGTAACATTTATCTACGCCCCACTTGGAAAGCAGCTATGGTTGAAGTGGCCACCGTAGTCAAATAAAGTTTTATCTATCTATCTATTATATATATATATATATATATATATATATATATATATATATATATATATATATATATATATATATATATATATATATATATATATATATGTACTATTTATAAACCGAGTAAGAGGGCTTTAATGACTGGATTAATTATAAAGTCATACAAGTCGTTAAACGGAGTTTTCAAATGGAAATTTGAACATATTTGACTTGTGTCGTTAATGAGTCGGTTTCGAGGCGCTCGAAGTGCTGAAGAGGAGCAAACGTTGCTCGAAAGATCGATGCCGCCAAGTACAAGATACGCGACAAAGCGGGCTTTGACGATCTCTGATTCCTGGAGAGCTGCTAGAAAGGTTAAAGAAGTGAAGTTCGACGGTGGTGGTAATGAAACTGATGATATTGGCCCAAACCATACATTAACTACATCGCTGGCGGAGATGAATGAAGCGTCTTTAGCATTTTAGTTAAAGGACATTGGCAACCAAAATTTTTATTGCTTATATCTATTAGGTATGCTTACGGAATACTTAATTTTATATTTTGGCCGGTTTGTCGCATTTAGTTGTTGAGAAAATGTAATAAAAAGTTCAACAGTAGTCCGCCATTTTGAAAATAAACACTTGTGCCAGAGCATACATTATCTGACGTCATTAGATGGGTAAACACAATTTCATGACTATAAAACAATACCGAGTTTTACCATGCGTAGTGCACTTTGAGCCTAAACAAAGGGCAGAAACGTTTTACCAAGTATGTTCCTTATTTGTAACACTATTTCTGATAGTATATCAGTCCTAGTCCGTGTTAAATAAACGCAGTAATTCGAGTGTAAACAAGGCAAACACTAATGCAATATTTTATGATCAATTACCTGTATTGTAAATTGCGCCATTCCTTGCTTTCCCAGTTGCTCGATATGTTTTTATCTGATAGTGTAGGCTTCTCTTGTTTGATTGCGAAAAGTATTGGCCAGTATAACGCTCAAAACGACATATTTTTGGCTAACACGACACGCACGCAATAGAATTCTCACTTGTAGTTTTGGTGCTACCCATCTAATGACGTCACAAAATTCGTTGACCTTCGAAGGTCATTTTTTCCAAGATGGCGGCGACACACAAAGTTTGCATGCATTTTACTCCTAGAGTAAAATGTTCGAGAAGGAAATGATAATATTTTCATAGTTAGGTTGTCAAGTAGGATTGAAATAGCCAATAAAAATTTTCGTTGCCAATGTCCTTTAAGCAAGTTTGTTGGATTTAAAGAGTATAAAGTGGTGTGTAATCAAAAACGAAGGGGTTGTTAATCCCGTGTTTAATAATTGTAACATTACCTTTAACTTTGGAAAATAAAGTATTTATTGATTTCTCGAATATTTGAGTTTTTATTAGGAACAGATTAATAAACATTTTGTTAAAGAATGCTTTATAAAGGTACATGTACCTTTATCATGAAGGTACATGTGGTCTATATATGAATTTTAAATCAGCACACACTGATCTATATCACGGTATATAGTGGTCATCATGTGACGAGATTTTAAGAAATTCATTGGCTAATTAGCTCATGAATTATTCATGAATTTTAGAAATATATATATATATATATATATATATATATATATATATATATATATATATATATATATATATATATATATATATATATACATATACATATACATATACAAATATATATATATATATATATATATATATATATTTCTATATGGATATGTATA